ATATTAACTGCTACTAAAAAGTTTGAGTATTCTTGTAAACTCAATGCAATGACTATAAAGTTGTTCTCTTAAACACAAGTTGATCGTATGTCCTAATTCTGTTTCTTTTGTGGGTGGTTGTATAGTTGTCAAGTAGGAGTCTGCCATTAGGCCTAACACTGACCTGCTGTGGAAATTCAAGTTTTAAGACTCAGGTGTTAAATAAGGACAAGGATGGCCTAGAAGGTTAAGATAAAGTGAGTAAAGCATATAGAGTGTCTCCACAGAGGAGAGGGTAAACATAGGGTGTAGGTTGTGGAGATGAGTCTTGGGGCTTTGTGTGACAGAAGATTTACAGGATGGTAGCGAGATTGACTGTGATGTATAGTTTGCATACTCTTAAAGATGAATTGAAAATGTGTTTAATGGTAAATGATTTGTACTTGTAGCACTTGTCTCATCACATTGACTACTCAAAGCAATTAACACTACAGGTATTGCCATCTACCTACCTGACAGCAAGGCTAGAGACGTATGATGTACTATATCTGAAGTAAAACCCACAACCCTCTAGGTGTAAGACAACTGCACTACCTACTGAGCTACAACCACGGAAAATCCCATTGGCCCCATAAGCTGAGGTGTGAGACAGTAGACTGACAGTAAGCTCAAGGAGGTGGTAGAGAAAAAGACACTGACATTTATGTTGGGAGTGACCTGGGAGTACAGGACTATAACAAGGAGGAAAAAAGGATATAGAGCTGAGGTCAAGATTGTTTGTGCTGAGACAGGTTGAGTTGTCTACTGGTTCAGTAGACACAGTAGACAATACTCAACTGGTCAACTGGGTGCCCTGCCTGATGGAACCATTTTTATTTTAATGATTTGATGGATGACCTTTAGACCTCTAACTAAACTTCACATCTAGTAGTAACTAACTGTGGAGACCCAAAGTAGGGATCCGATCCAGTATTGATATTGGCAGCCAATCCCAACGTAATCAGCGGATTGGACCAATCCGATCCAACCTGCAAAGAATTCCAATCCATGAACCATGTCTGAGCTCCAGTCTTGTCTGATTCCTGTGGCAGTTCTGTTATTCTAACAGACTTGCCACAGGAATCAGACAGTTGGATGAAGGGTAAACCGTGGAATCACTTTCCTGAACAGAACGTGGTTCAACAAGATCGTGAGGCTGCAGTTTAAGAAATCCACTCCACATTTTGCAGCCAGATAGCAGGCTGCAAAGAAATACGTCCTCTGTGTGGAAATATTAGAAAGACTGAAAACCACACAGCAACATGCAGTGTTTGCAGTCTCTGTCTCTTCATACAATACCACTACCCTATTAAACATAAAAATTGCCTCATTAGAGAGGACGTGAATGCGCCATGGGACAGAAAGACGTAAACCACTGCCAAAAGCCACTTCTGGAGTTGTTCCAAAAGTAAGGTAAAATCCTGACAGATGAAGTACATACTTGTACTCAGCTCAGCGACCTCTACTTTCTTTATTCCAGCCATGACCGTTTGAAGACTCCTGTTGGCTGAGGAGAGTAGCGCTGACAACTAAATAAAAACAATGAAACGCACGCTCGTCCTGGACGTGTGATACAAAGACAGACGAGGCCCCTTTTTTTATTAATGCTCCAATTATCACTGTTTTCTAACTAAAGAAATGCACACGTTGTTGTAAGATGTTTACTTTGCACCTAATAAAATGTTCAATTTCAAACCCATACAGTTAGGACATATTTGTTTGGAAAGATGGGATTTTTCCTGTTAACATGGTTTCCCATATTTTTGACTTCCTTTTCTGACCTTACTAACCTATATACTAACCTCAAGGTGCCTTTTCGGAAATACATGCATATAATAATAACATTAAAGCAATAGTATCGGCATAGTATCTGTATCGGCTGATATCCAAATCCAAAATATCGGGTTTGGATCGGAAGTGAAAAAAATGTGGATCGGTGCATTCCTAACCCAAAGTATACCAGAAGAGATTTGTAGACAAAGCTTAGCCAAAAAGACTGGTTATTGTACCAGAAGAGAAAGTTAGAGACAGAATGAGATCATTCATTCATCATTACAGAATGTATTACATATAAACCCAAATGTGGCATTTAAATAAGTTTGGAAAGCCACTGCAAAGGAAAGTCATCAGAAACTGTGTTTCTCTCAACTTACATTGATGGCTCCCCCACATCATCTCTGCAGAAACACTTTCTCGTTCCTTCATTTCTTCCTTCTCCCCCCGTGGATTCCACGGGCTTTGAGGGCAAACAAACAAAACAAAACAAAACATTTATAGACTCAATGGTTGCGTCTTGGCCCCGAAATCCCTATGCTTAGAGCAGAGTGAATGAAGCATGCAGAGGAGGCCCGTGTTAAGGGAGCGAAAGACATTTAAGCCTCTTACGCTGCAAACTTTTACACCCATCCTCCCCTCCTTCTGTCTCCAAAAACTTTGTAAGCTGCGTCTTTGTATATGTGTTTGTTATACATTGCACATGTGTGTGTGTGTGTTTGTACTCATTTGCATGTGTGTTTGAACAGGGTGGTGTCAGCTCGCTCCTTGCCACCCCATTTGCTGTAGCTCTACCGCTGTGATCACAGACAGATGTATAAATCAAACCTCGCTTGATAGATTCATCAGGGTGGTGAGACGATCGCCTGAGAAGAACTCGCAACTCTCTTAGCGTTCTGGCTTCTGAAGAAAAGGGTATGCAAAAAGCCTAAATGGATGAACGCTTGATTAATTCTTTGTCAGAGACGTTGGCGACAGCAGGAAACGTGTTTTTGCTTTGACTGTGTTTGCACGGGAATTTAAGCGCACAGGGCGTGAGTTATGAGGCCTGAGTTTTGTACCTTAGGCTATTGTGCATAATGATGGCAGGTTGGGAAAACTGCAAGCAGCCACTAAAGACTTGCTACCTGTGGAGCCAAGACAAGCAAAGTGAGAGAGAGAGAGAAAGAGAGAGACAGAGTGATAGAGAAAGAGAGAGAGACTGCAGGGAGAATTAAGCTGTAAATATATAAAAGTGAGACCTGAAGAATCAGAGTGTGACAAAGTACAAACAGTTTGCCAAAGGCTTCTTAGTATCCTAGATATTTAATGTGAAAGCTGCAACAAGTAGTTAATTGTTGGCTAATCAATCAGTTTTGTGGTTTCATTGACACTTTTTTTGCCAGTACTTTTTAACTAGTTGAAATTGAGTTTGAAAGTTCTGATAGGCAACTGGAAGTGAATTTTCTAAAAGAAGACGTTTCACATCTCATCCAAGAGAAATTGTTGAAATTTGTTTTTTTTTAGATGTTTAGGTCTGGGCAGAACACAGGGAAGAATGACAAAAATCAACTGGCATCAACATAATGCTCAGACAATCACAATCACCGGTTCAAATTTGAGTAATGCTTATGTAGCATCATATAATCTTATCAGAAATGTTCTGAATTGCATCACTGGCTAGATGGTCAAAGGGGTCAAAGACCCAATACAGCCCTTGCTTAGTCTCTATCTGTCTTGGCTCTGAGGCCACTATTAGTCAAAACAAATAACTCCAAAAATAAATTACAACAGTGAGTTGAAAGTAGAGCTGATGACCTGGTAAAAAAAAAAAAAAAAAAAA